GAATTGAGATGACCTCTTCGACAGGTAATAACTGTACGATGTATCGTGCCCAAGACGAGAATGATCGTGTCCATGGCTGCGGTGGTCTCCTTGTCGAAAGAGGGCTGGATAAATACGCTTAGTAGCATGCTATACGGGAGTCAAACATGATATGGCAGTTGTTATTTGGATCCATGTCGATTGATAGTGAGACGTTATCTGATGGAAAAATGTAAACGGCTGTCGTTTTTAAAAAGGCGTTCGGCCAATCAGCTTGATCTCGCACATTTCACTTTTCGAACCAATCAGAAATTCCCGTCGAAGTGACAAAGTCGTCCAAACACGAAAATAGTTGTCATATTTTCACTTATAGGCGGCGTGATTGTAGTTCTACGTTATTGTTTCCACTAAACTTTGTTGTGAAGCGAGTCTTTTAATTGCGACGCCTATTTGTTACCAGATACAACCGCGAAAAGGTGACGCTTTAGTACGTCCCGGCAAATTAACAATACATATTCTGAGAGCTTTGCATAATGTAGTAATACATGCATTTGATTATTGCAATTTCTAGTTCATTACTTGCTCAGTTTCGTATTGCCAAACTCTTATTCGCAACACATATGTATTAACATATATTTACGTGACAAAAAGTTGGCGTTTTGTTGAGAACCGGAGATTAACATTACATATTCTGAAAGCTTTAAATAATTATGTAATACTTGTAATTAATCATTTGAAATTAGCTGCTATTACATAATCTGCTTCTACATGTTCTTTACTTAACTGAATTATTCCAATGTGATGTGCGTCGAATGTTGGCGCTTATTATTCTGTTTTATGCATTATGACATTGATCTGAATTGGTTGAAATCGTTCTGATTTGAAAAGTAATATGATATGGCAGTTGTTCATAGCATTACGTGCAATAATCTCAGTGATGGGATGGACAATGTACGGTAGTTCTCTTTTTGGAGTATGTGCTGGCCCTGAGTAGGGCCGTTTTGCATTAGTGTCGTAGCACTATTGCTGACGACGATTTTGCCGTTTCTGGATAATTATTAAAATCACCCAAGTAGCATAATCTACAGGATAATTGCCTTCTCCAAGAATTGAGATGACCTCTTCGACAGGTAATAACTGTACGATGGATCGTGCCCAAGACGAGAATGCTCGTGTCCATGACTGCGGTGGTCTCCTTGTCAAAAGAGGGCTGGATAAATACGCATAGTAGCTTGATATACGGGAGTCAAACATGATATGGCAGTTGTTATTTGGATCCATGTCGATTGATAGTATGACGGTATCTGATGGAAAACTGTAAACGGCTGCCGTTTTTAAAAGGGCGTTCGGCCAATCAGCATGATCTCGCACATGTTACTTTTCGAACCAAACAGAAATCTCTGTCGAAGTGACAAAACTGTCCGAACACTAAAATAGTTGTCCCATTCTCATTCGTAGGCGGCGTGATTGAAGTTCTACGTTATTGTTCCCACTAAACTTTGTTGTGCAGCGAGTTTTTTTAATTGCGACGCCTATTTGTTACCAGATAAAACCGCGAAAAGGTGACGCTTTAGTACGTCCCGACAAATTAACAATACATATTCTGGGAGCTTTCTATAATGTAGTAATACATGCATTTGATTATTGCAATTTCTAGTTCATTACTTGCTCAGTTTGGCATTGCCAATCTCTTATTCGCAACACATATGTATTAACATATATTCACGCGAAGAAAGAGTTGGCGTTTTGTTGAGAACTGGCGGATTAACATTACATATTCTGAAAGCTTTATTGAATTATGAACTATTTGTATTTGATTATTGCAATTTGAAGTTCGCTAACGTTATCACGTTCTCACTTGTAGGCGGCGGTATGTTGAGATGATACGTTTGTGTTTCTCTTATTTGCGATAAGTTTGTATTAAAAGATATCGCATATCGACGAGCTAATAATATATATTCTGTAAGTTTATACAATTAAGTAATACTTGCAATTTTTAGTTTGATGTTATCACTTAATCTCTTCGTTATTTGTATTTCCCTTATTATAACTTATTATAACATTTAATTTTTTTGGACCGTTACATTGTTGCAGTATGTCGCATGTTGGGGCTGTTTTTCGCTTAATACATTATGACATTGACCCGATTTGGGTAAACATCTCCATTTACTAAACAAATTTGGTACGAAATTGACAATTATGAGTAGCATTACGAACAGTAATCCCAATGATAGGTTTCACAATATAATTAATAGTTGACTTTTATAAACTCGGGTGGTGGTTGACAGTATTACTGCGCAACTATTTTTTCTCCTGTACCTAGTTTTGTGCCAGCTTTTTACAATGATAATACCCCCCCCCCCCCAGAATTCGAAGATATGCTGTTTCGCATGCGCGCGCATGTCGGATGTGAGATGTAACGTGAGAATATACTCGTAATATTTTTCTTCTAGGTTTTGCCGATCGACGTCACAAAAATAAAATTCCCCTCTATCGAATATCAACAAACTGGCATATTTGTATTTTCCGCAATGACAAAGCAGGCGTATTTCTCCAACCCAGCCTCGTTACTTTCGGGAAAGTTGTTCATGTTGCTGTACATTTTGTTTTACCTTTCTCCATTAAGTGTGGAGATTCTTTTTTTTTCAGAATCAATCATCTCCTTACCCCGGGCTTATACTGACCAGATTCTGTTACACAAATGCTCGGACTTCGGAAATCGGGTGACATTGAACACAAACAATCGTCGCCTCTTAAAGCAGGAGGGTCGTCAACTGCGCACGCGTGGGAATTAAGTCCCAAGCGATGATAACAACACACGTTAAGAGCGGAAAGGCTCATGGGTAGACGTTTGTTTGTAAACAATGACACGCTATGGCCACTTGACGCATGCGTGGATGACGACTCCCCCGCTTTAATAATCTACAAGTCTGATTGCGAATATGTACTGAATATATAACTCGTCGGAAATTTTACTTTGCTAATTTTGGAGCACATACATGCTATAATCACGCACAAAAACACTCATGCAAAGTCGTCAGCATGGCTCTAATATGGGAAATTAATTCCCAATGTGATCTCGGCAGCCATTTTTGCGTCTAAGGTATATTTATAGGTCAAAGGTCAGATGATTGATTGATTGATTAATTAATTAATTAATTATCAGACATTATAAATTGTTTTTGAATGCCAGAACACGTGTGTGTATATATAACGCTTTTTATTATTTTATTAATAAAGCAAAACTAAGTTCTATCATGTGATTAGTACTTGAATATCACGTGATCTCCGATATGTTGCAGTGCATTTAATAAGAAATAAATAAAGCTGGTTGTCCCACGCCATAGCCTACTCCCGAAAATAACAAATACTAGAATAATTGAGCCTCGTGGTGTACGTGTTTATTATGTCTCCTCGTTCCCCTCTTCAGATTCCCAGAGCTGCAATGAACATTAATAATGAATGTTAATAAAAATATGACTAGAAAATGTAAAACGATACTATAAATTTGCTTATTTCCAGTCTAAAACATAACTCGCCTTTTATGGGTCAAACTATATTTAAAGCACCGATGAGGTAAATATGTATTGGCAATGTTGCTCTCCAAACATGACGTCTCGCTCACGAACTGTAAACGCATTATTTATTCACTGTTTATTAATTTCGTCATTTGCGCCGAGTTAGCTAAATTAAATCCACTTGAAAATGTAAAATAACAATGGAACTCGTCGATTCTCTGCTGAGTTCGTGAACTCGGTGAAATTGCTCAGCTCATCAAAATAGTGTAACATACTTTATTTTCGCTCTGGATTTGATTTTGCTATTTTCGCTGGAAGGATGATTTAGTGAAAATAAAATCCAGGAAATATATTATTTTTCTTATGTTTTACATTCAACTCTTCAATAATCTGTGAAAATGAACTCCATAAAAAACACCCAAAAAGCCTTTTCCGGAAAAATTCATTCCAGCTAAAATAAAGTATTTTAACAGTAGTGAAAATAAATGGTTTTACAGTATTGAGTAGAACCATTCAAACAAATCCTGACGCCATTTTGAAAGGGATTTCATTGAGTAGAACCGTTCAATCACACAACAGACGTGTAATGTGTACTTTGCATTAACTTACACTCAAGTTATCACGTAGTAGCTGAATAATTAACATATTATCTTTATTGAGAGCCTCATCGCCATCGTCTAATTGCTGTACATCGGCCAGAGCATCCTGGAAGGCCTGGAAGAAATATACAAGACATTAACTGACAATAAGACATATATCGAACACGACACTACGCGACGACCACCGCCATTTAATCATGAATAACAAACGTACTATCAACATTGTGAGCGGGAGGGTCGTCACCTGCGCACGCGCGGAAATTGAGTCCCAAGCGACGATAACAAGGCTCATGTGTAGAAGTTTGTTTATAAACAATGACACGCTATGTGCAGGTGACGACTTTTTGGTAACACTTCTTGATAGAACATGTCAGTACTGGGAGTCTGGCATCGTCTTGTCTTGCGCCCTCTACCGACGACTACTTATACAAACTCGACTACATCTGTTCGAGGTACATTTCGCGATAAATTGACATTGGGAGTTGTGTAATCAATTAGTCGATGGACTTTGATTCTTATTTAAAAAAAACAAGCAGCCTGTCGGCTGAGATAGCTCCGCTGTTAGCAATGCACATTTCTGAAGATATCATTAGAAAATGAACAATATGTATCGTATCAAAGCAATCGGACTTGCTGTTTTCAACATAAATTTGAAAAATATCACTTTTTACCAAAAATTACAAAAATATTCATCAAAAGTAGAGAATTAAAGATATCATCATGAAATGAACAAATCTAAGAGAGATCTACCCAAGGTACATATACACCAAGTATCAAAGCATTCAGGCTTGTAGTTTCCAGGAAGAAGCCGAAAAAGAAAAAAAGTTGACACGGACGACAGACGCCGACGAACAATAACTCATATGATTGCTCCGCTCGACAAAGTCGACAGCGGGGCTTAAAAACGCACCGACAAGATCACACACAATAACTCACCTGTTTGGCGAGTTCACGAGCTTTATCACGTTCGTTTAAAATTTCGTAATGAAACACTGAGAGATTGAGTACGAGCCCAAGTTGAATGTGGTTGGTAGGAGGCAGTGTTTTACCCGCTTCAAAAGCATCCTGGTAAGCCTTGCTTGCATCTTCTACAATTTCTGCTCAGAGAAAAAAAAACAATAATAACGTAAACTTCTAAAAATGCAGCGACTCTCTCGGCGATAACAGAACAATTCACAAAATTAAGAGCTTTACTTCCTGAAAATTACCAGAGCAAAACAGGATTCCTATATATGAGCGTTCCATCACTAGAGGGCGCGGCGTACATTGTGTTATTCTCGGGCCGACATCCCGGCTTTTTCACCGCCTGGCAACCATCACGGTGAAAACAAAGGTCGAAAACTCTCAGAAAACAGTACTTTAGAATGGTTATTGAGACTCCCCTGGACAGTGTAACAAGCTTAAATTCGGTTGTTCAGGATTACCTCAAAGTTGAGTTTGTGTTGTTTTCTCGAATTTTGCTATTTTCGCCGGCTGTTCGACCGGTGTTTCACAGCAGCGCGCGCAGAGCCCAAAGAAATAAATGGTACAGTGGTGCGTGTCTTAGCAACGTGGAACGTCTGTGACGTAGCTTCGCCCCCGAGGATATGTGTAGGACATAATTTCCCACCACTGTAGCTAGGTTAGAATATATGTGACATTGCACATACCTACCACTGGTCATTGTACTGGAGTTGCGGCCAGGAAAGATCAAAGGAAATAGTGATTTAATTGCTGATTCTACTCACGTTTTCTTTCGTCGGATCTAGAAACCTCTGCCAAATATCTGTAATAATCGCCTTTTGTTTTAAGATAAAATACTTTGCCCTCAGTGCAGTCGGCTTTAGGGATCAGGTACTTGTCAAGTAGACCCTGAAATCAACGCATAACATCAATATTTATAGCACTTTGTATGATTATCAGCTTCCACGTTAATACGCGATAGTGATATTTGACTTGCGCCCTCTGTCGAAGTCACCTGCACGCGGTTCCTGGCACGGTGAAAGCAAACAATTCACGGTCACTGATGGTTGAACTAGTTTTGAAAAGGAAGTCAGAAACACATAATCACTAAAAATTAGTGGGTGGTATCATCTATGAACATACAGCTCTATAGAACAGGCCACAACAGTACTGGGATTGTTTTAGGGTTGCTAGCTATTATGTAAGAGTTAAATGCGCGGGGGAGGGGGT